AAGAAAAGTTAAGTCACCGAAAGAAAATTCTGAAAAGCCAAGTAATGTAAAGGAGGAAAATAAAACAAGTGAAGGAAAGAAAACAAATAAGTCAAGTATTAGGCAGGAACCAGAAAGCCAAAAACTTTTTGCAGTTATTGTATGGGAGAACTTTGTCAGGGGAAGACCAGATAATACCTTTTTTATACAAGAAATGAACTTGATTATTCAAAGGAACAACTGTGTGATGCCTAACTGCTGTAGAAGACAGATGAATTTAGAAATTACAAGTACTGTGGAGATAAGATCGACTGAATCCAATATCAGCACAGTACCGGTTTCTGTTGATGTTGCACTACTAGCCCATTCAAATGATATTAGAAAAGAGACTCTTTTGGATGGTTTAAAAGCCTTACTTCGGAATCTTGTTGAGGAGTGTATGGTCATTATAAATCCAGGTACCATTATGGAAGTTAAGTTAGAAGAAAAGCACATTGATATTTGCCTTTTAACAAGGAATGGCTTACCCTTGAAGCTTACAAAGAAATCAGTTGTAATATTAGAGACAACTTTCTTGACTCAAAAACCCAGTCTTCCATATATACCAAACTCGGTTAGTGATCTTGATACTTATTTCTTTGCAAAATATTCATATCTTGGTGAGGAGGAGGTTATGACTAATCTAAAGGAGTATATAATGATGGGTCTTGGACTTAAAATATTAACACGAAGACCAGTTCCTCAATTTGCTCTACTCTGTGGTAGTAAAGGCTCTGGAAAGACCAGCTTAGTGGAGACACTTATTGAAGACTTATCTGCATCCACATATCACATCTACTGTGATGTAGTCAGCTTTAAACAACTGAAAGGAAAGAAGATGGAGACTATAGAAAAAAAGTTACAATTGTTATTGAGAGAGGCAATTTTCAGGAGACCTTCTCTTGTGGTTTTAGAAGATCTTGACTATTTAGTGCCACTGGAAGGCACTGATCAAGAATCGGGCCCTGTGTATGAATATGTGACGCAGGTTGTTAACATGCTCAGGAAACTTTTAGATGATCTTTTACGATTCTGTTCTGATTCAGAATCCCCTTCAGTGATGGTGATTGGGACATGTATAGCAAGAACAAGTGTCCATCCGCTTCTAGTCAGTCCTCAGGGCTGTCACTACTTTCCCTGCACCTTTAGAATTTCCCCATTGGAAACAGAAGGTCGTGTAAAGGCCTTCATGACAATGCTCAATGAACACTGTGAGAAATTTGCAGCCACCAAGGAGGGAATCTCTCTTTGCCAGTGCTTCCCTGAAGCTGATGAACACTGCGTATTCTGTGGGTATTCTGAGTCAGAAAAGTTCCAGGTGGATATGAAAGTCATTGCCAGAAGGACTGAAAGTTTTGTGCTTCCTGACCTGAGCCATTTAGCTTTTAGAACTTTCTTCCAAGCAAGGGATAGATGGGAAAGTAACATGTCAAGAGAAAACATGGAAAACATAAAAGATAACAATAGTGATTTTGTTAAGGACACTAACTTTTTGTGTAAAACCACTACACATAATACAATTTATGAAAGCAGCACACCACGGAAAGTTCTTCAGTGTGATGTGGATGCAGCTCTTGATGGCTACACATCTCTGGCCTTAAGAGGTGGGTTGAAGGCACAGATGTTGGTATGCAGACATGCATATAGACTTGCAAACTAATGCACATAGCCACCTCCCCCACACATGATAATTAGTCATAGCAAAATCCACCAAATTTTAGCCAAGTTCATTATAGTTATACTTGAAGCTTTTTTTTTAAATGTAGCAGCTTAATATCTGTCATTTGAATACATTTGAAACAAAGTAGTATTTAAAATATGACTTGAACCATTTAGATAGTAAAGATAAGTAATCATAGTGTAACCTCTGCAGGCATATCCCTTTCGGAGAAGAAGGCTGATGAAAGCTTCAGAGTTGGTGGCATGAAAGATGCCAAGAAGATCTTAGAGGAGACGCTGACATGGCCTTCATTATATCCCAACTTGTTCAATAAGGTTAATCTGAGATTGAGGTCTGGGGTCTTGCTCTATGGCCCTCCAGGCTGTGGCAAAACTCTCCTAGCTAATGCTGTCTCAGCTTATTGTCAGCTGAACTTCATTTCAGTCAAGGTTTGTTGTCTTGTACTTCATATATTTTCCAATCCTGATCTGATTATGAGATTGATCTTCAACTTTATTATCACATTTTGTCTGTTTTGATATTGTTTCTTTAAAGCAACATTATATGTTTGATGCAATATTGATACTATATTATTTTTGCAGGGACCAGAGCTTTTGTCCAAGTATATTGGTGCAAGTGAGCAGGCAGTCAGAGATGCTTTTGAGAGGTAAGTGAAAAAAATAAAACAATATAATACGAGGATGGGATATATGAAAATATGGTTTTTTTTTTGACTGGGATAGAACTGTCTTTGTAAAGTTTAAAGTGTTTTGAGTGACTGCAGTTAGTCAGTTACCTTGGAGGAAAATCAGCAACAGGCTGTTGTTAACAGCTCTTAGACTTTTCTCCTTTTTGTTTGTCTCAGTGTAATAAATCTTATGTGAAACCTGTAGTTGATTAGAAGGGTTATGATAATAGGGAAAGAATGATTATAACAGTTCTGTTGAACTGAGGCAACTATTTAGATACAATTATAAAGTGTTCATTTTGTTTTAAATAATGTACAATATTGAAAAGAACTTTCTTCATGTTAACAGAGCTTCAAGTGCCAAACCGTGTGTCTTATTCTTCGATGAATTTGAGTCGATTGCTCCAAGGCGTGGACATGATAGCACTGGGGTGACAGATCGTGTGGTGAATCAGCTACTTACACAGATGGATGGTGTTGAAGGACTCACTGGAGTTTACATCTTGGCAGCAACCTCCAGGCCGGACCTAATTGATCCTGCACTGCTTCGGCCAGGTGATTTGTTTTGAACTGCACTTTATGTCTTCTTTTGTCATTATTTTGAAAAGAAATGAATACTGCTGTTTCTGAAACTATTTATTTCATAGTTCAAGTATTAGGCACTTCAAAATACTATCATCTTTTTCAAAATGATGGAATAGTATTGAGCAAAAATTAAATTCTGCTGCAATAAGTGTAGGAAATCCTGTATTTATATGATGTGTTTTTCTGTTTCAGGCCGTCTTGACAAGTGTGTATATTGTCCAATGCCATCAGAAAAGGACAGAAAAGAGATCCTGGAAGTTTTAAGTCAGGATGTTGACTTAGGAGAAGAAATAGATTGGTCAGAGGTTGCCACTTTAACTGAAAACTTTTCTGGGGCAGACTTACAAAGTATTTTGTCAACAGCACAGGTTGCTGTTGCTCAGGAGGCCTTTGGTGATGATCTTTATAAGGGTGTTATCCAACCAATTAAAGAGGAGAGAGATACAACTGGTGCCAAAGATGATAAAGACAATATTGAAGAATCTTTATCTTTTCTTGATGCTCCAATTAATGAAGAAGACACTGGAGGAAACTCAGGTTATCAAGGATCACATAATGTTGAGAAAATACAAGAACAAGTCCTAATTGAAAAGGAAAAGAAAAGAGTCATATATAGTCAAAAGAGCTATATTTCTGAAAATGAAATGTCAGATGATGAGATGGTTGACAATCAAATCAGAACAAAGAATACCTTTACTGAGCCTATGAAACTCGATAGTGCCAAGCAGCAGGACTCCACACAGTCTAGTTTTAAGATTTGTTATAGGCACATTCAAGCTGCATTGAAAGAGGTGAAGCCATCAGTCACACAGACTGACCAGAAAAGATATGCACAGTTGTATGCCAGTTTTACCAGCTCAAGGGAAGGGAATTTTGGACAGCCATCCCCAGGAAAAAGAGCAACATTAGCATAACATAAGAATGAGTTGTGTACATTATAAAACCTATGGTATGATGCTTGTGACACATTTAGAAGTAATGTGATACAAAATCTGTGATTTGCTTTCCTTCCTGTTACATGCAATATATGTACCTATACAATCAACCTTCTTTAGCCCTGCAAGTAATTTACACTATTTAATTAAGCTATATATATATCTGGAAGATCTGGTGGTTCATTTGAAAATCTCCATCAGATGCATACTCATTTGAGAAAAATCCTGAAATGATGCCAAGTTCCTACGCTGTCTAACTGAGACATAAAAGAATACCGCCTCTTCAATAGAATTTGCAACATGAAAAATCCCTTCTTCGCAACTGAATGTAAATTGCAGGATAGATAAGAAATTATCATATTTGAACAGTGTTCACAGCAACAATTTTGCTGTGAAGATATTCTTTCTCATTTATACTTTTTTTTCTACATTTTTAAAATTTCAATTTAAGCAATACAACAATTGCATGTTAAACTCTAAGGGATTGGCCTACCTCATCCATTTTACTTTCACTAACTTCGAAGATATTTTGGAGTTTCTCTGAAATGTAAAGTATTAAATAAATATTGTTGGAGATTTTATCAGCATTTTCATTGAACTGTTACATATCTGTGTCTAATAGCTGTGCATGTGGGGGGGGGGGTGAGTGTGTTTTTAGTTTTCAAGAACTGAAGTATATGTCATGGATATGCAGATATTATACAATCATAATTTCATTGTTCTAGAATAGACAGATCACATTCTGTATATGATTAATTGGTAGAATGTTATATACTGGAAATATACATTCTGTAAGAAAATACTGAATATATAATATATATATATATATATATATATATATACATATATATATATATATACATATATATATATATATATATATATATATATATATATATATATATATATATATATATATATACATATATATATATATATATATATATATATATATATATATATATATATATATATATATATATATATATATATATATATATATATATATATATATATATATATATATATATATATATATTATATATATATATATTATATATATTTTTTTTCTTTTAGTGAAACTGACTAATCTTTTGTAAAATAAGTGAGATATGTTTTCTGACTGCAGATATGAAAAAAAGAGAAAGAAAGGGCACTATCTACAACAATCATTTCTTGCTTAAATTCTTTATGATGATATACTGAACATAATATTAAACTGAGTATATCAGGAAAGCCAGATGTAGAAACTCTCACTCACTTGCTATCAAAGCTGTGCTCATCGGCTTTTGTATCAGCCCTGGATTATCCATTAAGCAATATTAACGCATACTTTGGACAGCAAGGAAAGGAGATATCACAGAGTGCTATATCTTTTGTCACTAAATTTTAGGAAATCCAGATATATAGAAAGGGCCAGATATTATGACTGAAGTTGTCAGGTTGAAGTTGCATTTAACATTCTTTCATCTTATCAATCTTCCTGGCAGGAAACATTTTTTCTCAAAAACCAGCCTGGGCCACATTGTAACATATACTCTGAAGAATACTTTAAACCTTTGTAGAGTAACCAGATAGCTCAGGCTCATACAAGCTTTACTTCAGGGTTTCTTTTTAGGAATTATGTTCAAGCTTGGGTGATAATGGGACATGTTTATATAAACAGTATAATAATGCAAGCAAAATAATTTCATATTACAACTTGCAACATTCCAATCTAATTTACTGAATATACTAGTTCATCTTTGAATAGTTACAAGATTATGTTCTGACTGCCTATGGAATTGAGAAATGTCTGAATGATGCTTGTATTTGCCTTGAATTGCTTTTTATATTTTTGCCGTTGGAAACTTACAGTATACTAAGATGTACTGAGCAGCCTGTGACACCAAAAAAGTAAATGCTGGATAGTAGATAGATTTTAGAGTTGATAACTGGACTGTTGTATTATGGGTATAAAAAACTGCATGATACACAAATACCCATTTAGTGCATGTTATGTAAATACTGAACTATTGTGCTAATATTAATTTTGTCTGCTTATTTTTTCAGGTGGCAGTAGTATTGAATAAAACGGACTGCGTCTTGAGTCGTGCCAGCAATGAACTGCTAAATGCGATGCGCTTTGATGAACTAAAGGAGTATGCACCGCAGCAACTCACAACTTTTGAAGTGAGTGCTCTTGCAGGGAAAGGACTGAGACCTCTTCTGGAGTGGATAAAAGGAACTAAGCCAAAGCCAAAGTAGAGCAGGTGAACAGATCTGAGGAACTTTCATTTTGATGAAAGTTAGGCAAAATTTTTTGGTTAAAGCAAAATGAAAAGTGCTTGTCAGTATGAGTCTAACCACAGATTTTATAATTTTACACAAATATTATTTAATAACAGATCTCAGTACTATATACCACATGCAGTTTATTTGAAATAACGTCTGCACTCTGTAAATCAAATCAGTTTATACAATAGTAGTTATAACAAGTGGGTTACTGATATATAGTTCCCTGTCAAAATACTTAAAACTCATGAAATCACTTTGTTAATACATGTTACAAATGTCCCTAAATGACTGGTTAAATACAGAGATGCTTTTAAGATCTTGAGACATTGGTGTGTTAATCCTAGTCAAATTTTTTTAGAGCTTCACATTTACCATTTTGAAGATATTTCAGAATAAAATATAAAATGCTTTATCTAAAGGTTTCCGTTAGGTGCAATAAGTGGGTTTCACAACATGAATGAACACATCTGGCATGCTAGCCCCAGGTGCCCATGCCTAACAATGCCATTGATTAAAACCATTGTATTCTAGTCTTGACTCTTGACCCACATAATATACTTGGTTGATGGACATGCTTTCAGGTACTGACATTCCACTTGCAAGATTCTGTATAATCCTTTTAATTTTTGTGTACTGGACATAACAAGGAAACTGGTATATCCTAGTAAACTTAAGAGACCAAGAAGATAAAAAATTGTTTAATACGTAATGAGCATGACAACTGAAGGGAAGATAACAATGAATTAAAATATTGAAACAACTGTCTGAGATAAGAACCGTCCATAATAAAAATCCTGGTAGTACATAAATTAAAATAATTGAATTTTATTTTATACATATACTGCATAGGTGCCTTTTGTAAACAAATGTTATCCACAATAAAGAATTAAAAAGGAACTTACTTGTTATTAATAACAGCATCATTCAGCAATATTATTTATGAAATATTATTTATTTATCATTTGTTAAAATTTTTCTGCTGCGTCAACATCTAAGGTCATAAGTGGCATATACACAATATAGCAATAGAGAGAGACCTGGTCACAAAGCCCCCTGGTAAGAAGAGGTCATACAGTCATGAAATAATAGGACTTACAAGTGTAAGGAATCATCTTAGACAATATTGAATAATCAAATGACTTTGATTTACCTCTCATGAAAATAACCCATTAATGCCTGGATTGCATGTAAAATTGAAATAGCCTCTATTCCTTGGTTTTGTTAATTTTGATTTCATATAAATGGCTCCAGAAACACCTAATCACCAAGGGGATTAATGACTAAGCAACCATACCATTTTATTCTCTTCATCAAAGTTTTGTAGAATTTTTTTTTATTACTATTAATATTAATAATAACATTATACTTATAACAGTGATAATAAAAAAAAAATGATAATGACGAGAATAACATTTGTAATAACAATAGTAAAAGAAATACAGACTTTTTTCACAAAAACTTACACTTTGGTTAAAGATGGCAAGATCTACATGCCATGTCCACTGTAATTTTACTTCAATTGCTTTAACACAAAGATGGCTCCAGAAGTGCTTTGTCACCAAGAAGTCTATTCTTAGTCCTACCTGTGTCACTAAATTACCCTTTTACTTGATATTTGGGAAGATTATTTATATTTTTAAATTGCTATTTGTATTTTAATACCATTATAAATCATACTGTCAGTAATAGTAGGATCAATATTAATAGCATTAGAAAAAAAATCAGAAATTCAAGAAATGGGGAAATCAGGTGTGGTTAATCAAGGGCCTACTAATTGACTCCTTGGTCGCTGAGCATTTATAGAGTCATCTGTGTGCAATAAAACCCCCAAATACTACAGTGGACAGGACATGAACCCATGACTTGTGGTTATGGAAGAGGTAAACAGTTGAGATCCAGGTAGTCCTAAAAAAATCTTTCCTTGGTGAACATGTGTTTATGAAATCATTTGTGTGTAAACAAAATGAATAATAATAATGATAGTAATAATAATAATAATAATAATAAAAATAAAAAAGATTGGACACTGCCTGTACCCAGTGTCAGCTGCTTAAAGATATTTCTTCGTTTCACAACTATTTGTATATTTGCTTATGTGTATTTACAATGAATGTTTAAACAGGTTTCTTTATCTTTTATTTTTTTAGGTAATCTGTTACTAGCTAATTTATACATCTTAAGTAACATATCATAAAAGAAAACAGAAATTTTATTCATAAAGCACATGACATAAATTTCCACTTCAGTAATTCTCCTTATTTACAAATAGGTTGAGAAAACTAACACAAAAACTCAACATTTTAATTCAATATTTTATACAAAAGTCACATTTCTGGACTGCACTATGTTTCCTCATGAGTGCATATTTACAAAACCAGTAACTCATCACTAATATTTATGTGGCCGTACAGGGTTGTTGGGGTCAAATAATTTGGGATCCTTCAAGAAATCTACACTCTTGATCATAACTGGCATGAAACCTGTGAAAAGATGGGAGAAATTTAGACACTTTGGAGACAAATTGTTTTTCAATGGTCTTAAAGGATTTAAAGAATGTAATCTTTTAATGTGATATTGATTATAAAAGAGGAAAAGAATGAATGTAAAAACTGATGAGGAATGTAAAACTGATATGGCATACTAAAGAACTGGAGAGAAAAAAAAATTCTAGGTCTACTTATCACAGAAAGAAATAGAGAGAGAAGCAGAAAGGAAAAACATGAAAGAAAAAAAAATGTGAAAATGAATCAACAAAGGAAAATATGAGAAAAAAGAAAAAGCTAAACAAAAATGGAAAAAAGAAAAGAAAAAAAAAAAAAAAAAAAAAAAAAAAAAAAAAAAAAAAAGCCAAAAAATGAATGCGCCCAACTCTGAGACCAATCATGTTTTGTTTCATCTTTCACAGACAGCAAAAACAATTCATCTAGGTATCTCACCTGCATCTCTGCTCTTTTCTATTTCTCGTTCCAGTATTGATTGTTGTCTCCTACAAAGCCTGGTAATATGCCTGCCGTAAATCTGTCCAGTGAAAGGCGATACAAACTGGGAGAGCAATCTAACATTCTTGTAGTCTAAGTGCACATTGTAGTTGCAGAGTATGCACTGTAATTTCTCTCTCTCATAGGGGTTTGGCATTTCAACAGGCTGAAAAATTAAGCAGTGACAGATATTACTAACCTGGTGCATATAACTTTTTTGTTCTCATCCAAATACGAAACCAAAGGACTGATAATATATTTGGGCACTAATTCTGAATCCTAGAAAAGTATGATAAAAATAAATTAACCTACAAATTTTCAGACCTGAAATTAATGTTTTTATAAAATTAGGAGGGAGTCAACAATTTTAAAAATTTTCAATATTTCTTCTATACCCCAATTTTAAGTGCTTAACCTTAACTCTTTGGTTAGCCTGAGGTGCATTGATCATGTAAGAAATATACTTAGGTAGTGAACATTATTTTATACACATTAGGAACCTGGAGGAGCTGTTAAATGTACAAAAAATGAAAATGATCTTTAAGTGAATGTAATTTCCCTTTTTGTATGTGAACCAATGAGAAACAAATTCATCATAAAATGTGTTATCAACCTTTAACCCTTTGATGATAGGGCCTGAATTTTTGTGATGTAATATTATGCAAGTCTTGACTTTGTGGCTAGGCCTAAGCTGTGTACAACTGGCCCACTCGGCTGTACACAGCACATGACAGCTATAGTCGTACCAATCACTTAAGGGTTAAGTCAAGGTCCTAAACCAAGTATTTCTTATTTTTTCATGTTGTTAATCACTTGCCTCCCTTAACCCTTTGTGTGCTGGCTCCACAAATAAATTATCGCCAAGATATTTATAACCTACATCAGCTTGATTTTTTGGATGATCTTTTACAATCACAATTAGCATTTTAATATTATTACAATAATCATAAAGTCAATAAAAATAATAATAACAGAACTGACATTAACAACATTAGGGGGACAGGATATTGACACACAATAAAAAGTTATACAACATAGGCACATTCAAAAATATAATTTTAAAATCTCCATTACCCAAATTTTCCATGACCAAAACACTATTTACTGCAATATTTCTGGCCCGAAAAAAAAAAAAAAAAAAAAAAATCATAAGCCTATTAAAGAAAAAGTGAGGATTTAATAAACATGAACTGATAGACTTGATCAAGTATTATCCATGAAGCAGAAAATTAACTTACTGCTGACTAAGAGGAATTTCTCACTCTCTGACAAGTCATGCATCTTCACTAATTTCAAACAATAATGAGGAAAGAATAAGGACAAAGAAGTAGACAGACTGACATCTTGCCACATTCCTGTCACCCCTCCTCATCATACAGCCCTCCATTTCCTAAGTTCTATCAAAAACAGTGGAGTTCAGTGTCTTAGACATTCAACTCCACTGTTTTTGTGCATTTGAAACATAAAAATGCACATTTCTTTAGCTATGAAACAGAGTTTTTCAGGTCTATTTTTCCAGTGTTTCTGTTTCATCACACAACAGTAAAACAAAGGATATCCACAGTTGGCCCCTTGTTCTTTATCTTTAAAAGTATATTAAACAAATACATAAATGAAATGCTCATTACCATATCCATTTTACTTTGTCTGATCAACAGCTGCTCCACTTCCGATGCATTAAATACATCTGGTTCTTTACTCTCTGTCTGGGTGGGAGGGGATGTTGCAGAGCTTGGGTCTGTGGTTGTGCTGCATGGCGACACTGTCATTCCTGTAATACATATCTACATTAACATATATAAGTAAAATATGTGTGATACAATTTGGAAACTTCATGTGATGTGATCTTAACAGCATATATTTACATTTATTTATAAATAAATAAATAAATACATTATATATATATATATATATATATATATATATATATATATATATATATATATATATATATATATATATAATCACACACACATATATCATACATCTCTCTCACACTCACACTCTCACACACACACTCACACACACACACACACACACACACACACACACACACACACACACACACACACACACACACACACACACACACACACACACACACACACACACACACACACACACACACACACACTCACACTCACACACACTCACACTCACACTCACACACACATTTATAAAATAAATGTAAATATATGCTGTTAAGATGACATCACATTAAGTTTCCAAATTGTATCATTCACACGCACACACATATACATATATATCTAAAATAGATAGAGAGATGGAGAAAGATGTATTTATGTACACAAACATATATATACATACTTTGTTTAACTTCTATTAGAGAAAGGAAACACCTATGGTACCTGTGTAACCTTTACTCATGACTGGAACTATTTCTCAAAATCAAAAATTGATGAGACCTAGAGATTGCCTACATGAGAAACTGGCCTAGGGTTGTGACCTTACTTTTAGTATTACTAAAAGATCAACTATGAGACTCCATCAACTACGGGTGATATAAATAGATTAACACTTATTGATTCTGACCTTGCTATAAGACCTTGACTTTTAATTCCCTTAGTCTGCATTCCTCTGTCCCACCCTCTCCCTCTGCTACATTTTCAGACACCCACTTCAGAACAGAATTATGTTTCCTTAGTCACTTTGCACATCTAGCACCCTTCACATGGAGTGTGAATGTAGCTTTGACTGTTATGGAAATATAGTCTATGTATCTGAGTGTAACAGTATTGGAAAATTTATTATCATCTTTTCTTGATGCAAACATATTTTAGGCCAACAGTCATCACTTCATATTGCAATCATTTTGTTTGTTTGTTTTGTTTTGTTTGTATAAGTGTTCACGACCACTGAGATTGATGATGAAAACTTGTAAGCTTACAAGAAAACCATACAACATGTAGCTACTAATGAGGTAAGATTGTTCAAGGTTTTTCTTTCATGATCCAGCATTCAGACCCTTATGAGCTCTATCTTGCATGTCAAAAGTTGTGGGGGTCAGGGGGAAGAAACCCCATATAAAGTTTTTTTTACAGATATTTTTTATTTTTAATACCACATAATCTGGCACTCATCACTTCCTGATAATACCTCATGCCCTCCTAAATTAATGAGTCTTGAATTGGCTCTATTGTTGCCTGACTAAAATCACTAGAAAAACATATTTCTTCTCATTAATCCTTTGCTCTGGGATGGTATTAGCCTACATATATGCCATGTCCACTGTGAATTGTTCATTAATTGTGTATATTCACAGATACGTCCATAAGTACAAACCATCTGTGTGTGATGAAATTTACAGAGGACTGTATATAACCAAAAACAAAGGGTTAAAACTGTGCAAATAATTAAAGAGTCCTATACTGGCATTCACATTTTTTTCTCCTGCGACTTTATTGGTTATTTCTATCCAAACTGCATTGCAAATTGCTGTAATCTGTGATGGAAAGCTTGTAAACTGAAATCCAGCCCATCAAGCATCTAGTGCTTGAAATGTTTCCAAGGTAAATATTAAGAATACAATTGCATGGCCAAACATAACACTGTTGATATTAGTGGATTCCTCTCACTCTCTACTACCCCTATCTGTAGAAATTATGCTGTGGAAACCCCCCTAATACTCAGAATCTTGGCTCCAATAGCAGAGAAGAGCATGAATGATACTAGGGAAATGGCAGGGTAAAATATGAATAATATATAGTAAATGCAGAAGGCTATACCCCCTTCAAAACCCCCATGGGAGGGCTGCTGCCTGCCAACCCATCCCAAATATGAAGGAATCCACCAGGTATGTACGGAAGGATATAGGGTAGGGCAGACTAAGCACTGGGCACTCCCACATGTTTGACGAACATTCTACCTTGTACTGTATACTGTCCCTCTGCCCTACAGCGAATACGTCAAGGATTCTTTTGTTTTTGAGGGCAGGAGTTGGGGGGCAGCAGACCCTAAGGAGAGGGGCTACAGGGAGCACAGCCTCCTGGATAAAACATTATAGTGATTGATTTTATTGACATATTTCATATACATATATTATTCATATGTTACCTGGCAAATACCGTGGTATCTTTCATACCTTCCCTTACTATTGAAGGTAAGAATATGGGGGTTTGGGGGGTTCTGTGGCAAAGGTCCTATGTATATGAGCAGTAGAGAGCGAGAGGAATCCACAGATACTACTGTCATCATGATTATTCCTACGAAGGTATTCTAAACAATTACCATTTCCATTTTTGACAACAAATTGCTGGGAAGATTAATTAGCTCATTCTTGCTGTACTGTATTGGACTTGGTCAGAGCGCTGCCAGTCACGGAGGACCAACTGTTCTCTGTTTGATGGCAGACATGAGGGTACCTCCGAAATATTTACCTAACCAATTACCCTGTAATAAGTTTCCAAACAAGTATTCAAATGCACAAATCTGAATACCCTAATGCCCCTTGCAGCTACAATCTTAAAAGTATTTGCTTGGAAGATTTTCAGTAATGAAGGGAACTTTTCATGAAGCTTCTAACATGATATTACACAATGTACATTAGAAATGACGGTTTCGACTCCTGTCCATATACTTCAAGCTCTGCCTCGTAAAATATAATAACATTTTTTTCTGTCATTAGATAATACCGTAAGCATAGAAGCATAGCACCCGGCAAAATCCGTATTCGCGCAGACAAAACTGCCTTTTCCTCACCATAACATACAATTCACATCCTTTACACCCAAATGGCCCATCTGCGACTTACTCATCAACTGTGATCTTCCATTTGAGGAAAACAGAAGGTAATCTCTGAAAGAAGAAGCGAGTCGTCTGCTCCACACGGCCGCCATGATACTTGTGTTGTTATTGGACATTCATGAGTAACGTGAGTAACACAATTTAATTGATGACTGATAATAAATGGGTCAGATTGATTTAGAAGTGTACGCGATAATGGTAATAGAATTAAATGGAAACCAAATGGAATACTTTGGATGATATCAATGGTGGTCATGAACTTGACATTGCATTTTACATGTAGTGTGACTCTGAGTAATGAGTGTAATCGCGATGCAAGATATATAAGAATAGATGATGAATCAATGAATCAAAGTGAATGGTAATGATAGTGGGATTAATTTGGTCTTTTATGATTTGACAGAACTTGTGATGACTGAGAACGATGTCATGTTCGTGTATTTAGCGGAAGATTCGCGTATGACATGAGCAATGAAGCGTATTCTTTTAAACTGATTTCCAGACTATTTGCGAAGTTATGTATCGAAAGCTACCGAAATGGCTTTTACTTGAACGAAAAGATAACAGTTGATTACGGTTTAATCATTACATAGTATATCAATAGGAGATGAATTGTAACTACATAACAGCAAAAAGGTGCAATATACTTTTGATTGGTTTAAATTATATATTAGAATATCACGCAGTAACTGTTATTTTGAAAAGCAAATGTTCAATAACAGCTCGATGACCAGTAGAGAAAGAAACGCGAAAAATTATCAAATCATATCGTAATAAAGTCGATTGTTTAGATCAGTCCTGTAAATGAACATAGTAGTATTTTGAATAGTAAATAAATGATCTTTCATTACAGTTTTCATTGTAATGTTTATGGCTTAGCTTTATTTTCTGCACAATATGTAAAGTAAAAATACCAAAACAAAGCTCATCTTCTTAGCTTTCCATGTGACATCGGTCATATTTATTTAATACGAAATACGAAGAAAAAATCCCATTCCCGAAACCATTCACAGCAACCAATAAAGACAGATACACACACAAAATAAGAATAAGTATCATCAAGGGGATAAATCAGGTGATTTTCCTCTCTACCGA